ACCCCTCCAAGCCAGGGAAGGTGGTGGAGCCCAGGGGTTGGTCTGGCACGTGGTCCCTGGGGCTGTTTCACCAGGTGTGTTGGTTGTGGATGGGTGATGTACCCACAGATACTCCCTCCCTGGGTAGGAGAAGCACTGGGGGTCTGTCCAGCACCAGGCCCTGGTGCGGCTGTCACATCACCCCTGGCAAACCCAGCCCCCACCCCAGAGCACCCTGGCTGCTGGGGTGGGGTGTGCACACACCCATACCTCTGTATACACGCACGTGTGTGCCCAAATAGCATATGTGTACACACCCCCCATGTACACCCTCAGACCTATGTGTGCACACATGCATTTCCTGCCACACGCATCAGGATGCGTGCTTAGGAGCCAGATAGCCCCACACACGCTTCCCTTTGTGGAGGGACCCCCAGCTCACATCCTCTTGCCCCTGATCTCGCTGCAGCTCGTGCGCTTCCTTCTCACACTGCTGTTCTCGCACACTCCCACCCGCCCCTGTCCCTGCAGCCAGCGGTTCCCGGCAGCGCCTGGCTGGGTGACAACAGTCAGAGTAATCACCTCAGGCCCGATCCGCTTGCCCCCTGCCCTGCTCGGCCCCCAGACCCCACCTTGTAGGTCACAGGGTGCCCAGATGGGGGTCGGTGGGTGCCGCATCTCCGCGGATGAGGCTAGCAGCCCAGCTCGCAGGGGGCACAGCTGTCGGGAGCTGTGAGCACTGGGGTCAAATGCCGCCAGGCTTCCCCTGCACGGCCATGCCCTGTCTCTGCGGACGTGACAAGCTGCAAACATGCCCGACAGCACCCTCAGCCCCTCTGACAGTGCTGGCCCTGCTCCTGCTGCTGGCCCTGTGTCAGTCCCTCCCTGCCATGGCCAGGTCCCCATCCCTCCCTGGGTGCAAAGCCATTGATGATGCCAGGCTGGAGAGCTGTGGTGCCCTGCACTCTCTCCTTGTCCTCATCATTAGGCAATTCCCATCAAGGGGAACCAGAGAGCTGCTGGAAACTGGAGGTCCACTGGACACCAGTGGACACCAAGGTATCCAAGCTGCCTTCAACAGTCCCTTTACTCCAAAATGCTCTTTTTCAGCTATGCCAGAAGCTGGTGGGCAGCAGGAGCCCGTTCCTGTGGGCAGTCTGGTATTCCTCTGCTGAGAAGGGCGATGCCAGTGTTTGCTGACCACAGCAGGGGGACAGAAGGGGATGTGGGGGGAGTCCCTGCTGCTGGTCCACTGTGTTTCCCCCAGCCCAAATCCAGGGATGCTGCATGCTGTGGAGGTAAGGGGTGTGGAGGTGGTGAAAGTCAGAGATCCCAGAGGGGCATGGGGGCTCTGGCTGAGGTAGGCAGGTATCTGGCAGGGGGCAGGATGCCGGGGGGGCTGTGGGGCTATGCAGCTGGCCGGATCCTGGTGCCAAGTTTCCCACCTCTCCTTACAGGGTGCAAAGTGCCGAGAATCCCACTGCGGGGGGCGGCTGTTTGCACCCACTTCGCCACGGTGCTGAGGGTAGCCGGAGGT